TACAGAAAAATCAGAACCAAACGGAACCTGAAAGATGTTGTGATTGACAGATGACAGAGGCACCTTAACGTGGATAGACAACTCCTTACACCCGTTCGATGGTTTGGCGACATCAAGTGCAGACCTGCAAAGATTACGTCCCTTCAATGGCAGATACTGCACCGCTGTCTACCAACTAACGATTGGCTCATTRACCATACGCACYTGGAACARCAGGGCCGGGCCCTTCCGTGGTGTTCACGCTGCCTGTCGGGCTTTCCAACAAAGAAGAGAGCCAAGACAATAGAACTCATTTTTCTACAATGCCCGACAACAGTTCTAACCTGGAGGTGGTGGGCAAGAGTGTGGCAGCAAATTGTACCAGGTCAGCGGTGGCTGTGGGAATGGCGAGCCATTCTCTTGGGACACTATCCACCTCTCCAAGGAAACATTTTTGCCTGGAACATGTTCCATTTGGGTAGAAGAACGGTCCTATGGGTCTTATGATGGCAACGTTGTGCTCTTGTTTTTTACCAGGTACGAGTCGAGGGTGAGGAAAGGATCGAACAGTTTAAACAACATATACAAATGAAACTTGAGTTCAGATGGAAGTCTATCAAACTCACCCTTGACACCCTCCACAGGGCAAATGACATTGAGAAGAGGATAAGGCAGTTCTCTAGGGAGTGGTTGGGAGGAGATCGAGAGGGGTGGGTAGCAGAGGTGAGTTGGTCAGGGGACGGGAATGGTGGGGAGGACAGGGAAGGAGGACAATAAGGAAGAACGGTGTCACGAGACTACTGTTTAAAGTTTAAGGATTGGTTGACCATTGACTGCAGCGTACCTTTAAGACCAGCAGAGGACTTCCCGGTTCTATTCCCGCCCCACCCATTGTCTCTGGATCTGCGACAGGTGGGATGACTCCACCTATCAAATTCTCATTCCAACACAGTATGGGTAGGAGTGTGTGGCAGCAGAGTACGCCCGACGGAGAGGGTTGGGCAGGAGAAGGAAGGATCCACTGGTGCGCCCCGGTGGCCCTTCTCAAAATCTTGTCCGGGCAGAGGAATGGAGATAATGATAAGAACGAATAATGTGCATCAGGACAAGTCGGGTTCAAGCTCAGTCGGGTTCAGGCTCACACCTGTGCAGTCAATCCTCTGGTCTCCAGAGTAATCAATGCTGGCAAGCGCCATCCACTTACCCTCCCACGATCATCCATGTATCATATGCATCATATTGAATTCATTCTCTGTAAGGGACGCTGGACCCGATTTCCAGCAGGTGATGCTCCCCACCAATAGAGGGAGCCTCCCCCCGGGTGCTAGTGGTGTCTGTCCCCAACAGCATCACTAAAAAAAATAAAAATAAATAAAAATAAAAGAGCAGTGGAGCGAGGCACAAAAGACAAAAATCGAAACCCAAAAAAAACGGCACGTTTCCTTCTCTTTTTTTATTTTTTACTGCAGTACTCTCCACATGCACAAAAAAAAAGAAAAGATGGCAACGTATCTTTCCATGTTCTAGCAGTGGATTCGGGAGACTGACACACACCAACCGTCCGCTTTGCATCGACCCGCTCGCTCCACTACACAACGCTGCACATGCATTTCGACGCTTTCCCAAAAAGGAAAAAAAAAAAAAAAAAAAAAAAGATGGCAATGTATCTTTGTATCTTTCCATGTTCTAGCAGAGGATTCAGTCTCATTTTGCATTTTCTTCGTTTCACGACGGCCGCCGACCAACGTTGTTACAAGAGCGACCTCCCCAACCCGCCGCGGTCGCTGAACCTTTAAGCTCTGAGACGACCGCTCGGCCTACCGGTCGTTTTCACCTCCCCGACCGCACCCTTCCCACGCACCTGTCGACGCCCTCTAAACCCGCTTAACCGACGAAAACCTTCCTGAAAAAAGAGCTGCGCTAGACGACAAAAAATCGAACTAGGTAAGGCGCAGCCTTTGGCTGCGAACATTCGACAGCCTGTGTGGCGAGCCTCTAACTTCCTGTTGATTGGTTTCTCATGAGACTACGCAACAAACATCTGCGACCATATTACCCTGGTCGGCACTACGGGCTGCGAGCCCGCGGCCTCGTGGTATGCCAGTTTGTCTTGTTTTGTTTTGTTTTGTTTGTTTTGTTTTTTTGTTTTTTTTTTGTTTGTTTGTTTTTGAAGCAATCGGGCGTTGGCTTGCCCGGCCCCCGAAAGTTGCGGCGTAACGCGACTTTTTTTTTTTTTTTTTTTTTTTTGGAAAGCAAGTAATTCCATTGCAACAAAAATCGAACCTCTTTTTTGACCTCACAATTCAACCGGGAGGTAACCTGGCAGCAAGGTTGTCGAGCCCCGGCCCCGGGGCCCCGGCGGGGGTCCCGAGGGCCGGGGGTCGGCACCCCTGGCCCCGGCAAAAAAAAGTAAAAAAA